ATTAAATATGGGAAAAGTGATTGGATCGAAAATTTTTCGTAAATTAAAGTTTATCCCGTGATTAGTAGAATTAACTTGAAATTCTTCTTAAACTTTTTCTCAAAGTCATATTTGTAAAATAACTTGAAAATCTCAATAACTATTTACTGTAATACCTCAGGAAACTATCTGTTACATTTTGTTTTAGGAAAAAAGAATCCTTTATTAAAGATTCCTAGCTTATCAGTCCAAAAATGTAGATTATACATTTCAGTTCTAACAGAAGTATGATAAATATTCAACAATTTAAAATAAACAACACCTCGACATCACTTCCAGTTCGTCCGTTTTACAGGGTTGGACCAACAAACTTGCCTTTCTTTGACAATTTAACCACTGAAAATTTAGTTAACATAGAAAATTGTCAAAAAACTTGTGAAATTTGTCATTTTTAATAATATTTTAATTCTTTTCGAATTGTTTGTGCTTTGAAATTCTATTAAAATATTTCAAAATTTAAATGAACTAATAATTTATTAAACTGAATTAATTAAATTAAAAATGAATTAATATGTTATTTGGTTTGGTAATATTTGATTTTACGATTCATTTCCTTCTTTATCTGCACTTATTTATATTTTGAAAAATTTTATCACAACCTTCTGTTTTTCACCCATTAATGTTGCAAGCTTTCTTCGGCTATGATATAAATTTGCAATATTTTTTTGAAATGCGCTATCACTTAAAGTATCATTTTTCGGATTGGAATTACTGCTTAATATGGATGAATTCATAACACCTGAAACTGATTTCCTATGATAACACAGAATTTTACGATTGCTAAATAAATTTCCAAACAACATTTAATACTAGAACAGTTGAAGAAGGGACAATTTAAAAAAGAAATTGATTTAGCTCATTTTTCAACGATGTTTTTGAAATTTTCACAATTTATTTTTTATTCATTACATGGGTTATTCTAGAATTTGTATTGTTTATTGAATTATTGAAGAATTTTTCACAGTAATGATTGGTGATTGCAAGTAATACCAAAGGATGTAATAGATTTTGTAGCACTATTGATTGACATGTTTCTTTGCCTCTCCGGAATTAAATGTTGAGGGTCAAGTAAATGTCATTGAAGTAAAAGAATTTCTTCTCTTTCATTTTGCTAATTCAAGAAATGAAAACCTTCTAGAAGACAAACAATACAGTATTACGGATAAGACATATTACTGTACTGAGCGGTTGAATAAAGTCTCAATAATCCCAGCAATTTTTGATATTTTCATTTAAATCATTAAAAAACTTTAAAAAATTTTCAATGTATATAATATATATATTTATGGCAATTTAATAAATTTTTCAAACAAAATTTATTTATTTTTTCTTAAGTCAAATTAAGTTTGCTGCAAATTAAGTGCACATTTTAATGTCTTATAATCATGGAAAAAAAGAAGAGAAAGACAAAGATAATGATCTGAAGTTGATAAAAAGAGAGAAAAAAATCAGGAAGAAGAAGAAGAAGGAAGCAGAGAGCTATTCTGATAACGTCTTAACAATGAACACATTTATACAATCTTGTGTTAGCTGATAGGCTCCGCTCAATTTCATGAAAGCAATGATATGATATGATAAGAGATGTTCCAATAATCGTTCAATATATAATATCAGACAATTTTTGAGCAAATAACATACAAATTTTAAACCTTTTTATTTACTTTACATTTGATATATTTCCAGCAATAAACGGCAAAAACGAATGATTAAATTTTTATTCTGCCAACTTTCATCACTATTGCTGCTTTGTTTTGAATCAAATAAATGAAAAAAGCCTGAAGGTTGTATAATATTGGAATGCATCATTTCATTTCCAGCCTAAGGAAATTTCGAAAATAGAATTCATAAAATATGTAATAATTTTCAAAAAAAAAAGCAAAAAACAAATGATATTATTTTGTAACATAAAATTACTGTTTATTCTTTTTTTCCTTTTTTCTTTTTTCTCCTCTCCCTTTCTCTTTTTTGCATTTAATTTACCTGAAGCAAATTTTAAAAAAAAAATTAAATTGTTAGCTTGAAATTTCAATGATACAAAAACAATGTTGTAGAGAAGGATGAGGTCACATGCTGCATCTTATCAGAGTTACGGTTAGAATAAACGGTGATAAAGAAGGAAGTCTATCATTCATACATTTCTTCCTGTACTTCACTTCCATCATTCCAAACTTTTTTAATGTTTACATACAAAAATCATCTTTCTTCTCATCAACAACCTTATCATTTAGACGACATATATTTTGGCCAACATTTCTAAATGCATCTCTTTCACATTTTTATTTCTTTTCCAAGTTTGAAATTATCAAATTTACAGTAATGTTTGACGTCCTTTCATTTTATCGTATACAAATCATCACGAGTATCAATTATACGGCAAATAATTTTAAATATACTTTATTGTGCAAAATTTTCTTTTCACAAATAAAAATGATTTAATGCAATTACTGAATAAATCATAATAATGCTATTAACATAGTCAAAAATTTTATTATTTTAACGTTAATTATTATGATTACTCTTGCATATAATGTCATTCATTATACGATTTAATACTGTTTGTGAAAACTTGTACAGCTAAATAATTATCGTTGTAATATATAGTTTTATTATTTGTAGTAATAAGTACAGTATAAACATAGATATATTACACAGAAGTATTGCATAAGATTCCTTTTTTTTCTTTAGCAAATTTAAATCGAATTTTACACCTGGCATATGCTAATGCTAATAAATTAACACAGAGAATATTTTCTTAATTAGTAAGCTCTCAAACTTCTCTTTACTTTCTATAATGTTATTTGTTACCGAATATCTTATACTTGATGTTACTAATTGTTTTTTCAGATTTTAATTGTTGCAAATTTTAATTGTTTCATTTATAATGGAATATTTTAATTATTTGATAGAGTATCGTTTATGATAATTTATCAGTAAATATTATTACTATTAATTTTTTGCAACCTTCGTGTAATTTCAATTTACAATGTAAATCGCCTTATTCTATATGTATTTTTCATATATTTCGGAATGCATTCCTGTTAATATTTGGGAAAATTGCCGGTTTGCAGGAATATTTAAAAATTTTGATCCCATTCGCTTTAAAAATTTTTCATCTATCTTTTATCTCCCGTCCTTTCCATTTATAATTTGAATATTAGGGCAAATTTGAGTATCACAAATACGGGAAATATACTAACAATGTATTTCCTAATTATCGGATCAAGTCCATGCCTGAATAGATAGATGAATTCATCATTCATCATCGATTCAACCCATCGCAATTTTCAAACTCTCATTAAAGAAAATTCTTCTCCTGCCTTTTCTTCTATAATGAAATATTCATTTATTGAAGCCTGACAATTCCATTAATATCTTCCGGTTTTCTTTCAAATTAACTTTATTTTTGGTAATTTATCTAATTTACCACTTCAGCAGCACTACTGAATTTACTATTTTTGACTAGTTAAGTAGAATGAATGAATGAAATGTCTTTTTTTTTTTAAATCCTTCCATTTTTCAGTAATCCATTAGTTTTTAATGCTCAATAAATGTCCTGAAGTTGATCTTTTTATAAAAAGATTTTAATTTTGTTTCGGTTAATTCCGTTTAATTAACGTTATTTTATAACAATTCACTTATTTTCTCACTTTTCTCGTGTTTATTTTCACATCGTGCATACTTCTTTTTTCAAGTTGTTTTTCAACTTCTTAAAAGAGTCTTTTGAGCAGTTAAATAAATGTTTTTAGATTGCTATTGTATTAATTCATTTATTCAAAAGCATGGAAATATTTCACATGACATATAATTTAATTTAAAATCAGTTAAAGTTTCATCGGAAAGTAAAAAATCAGCCAAGTGATTTTCCACATTATTTCATGTAATTATATGATAAATGGATTAGATCATATTTAATAAAGTTAAATTGTTTTCAACAAGTTAGCTATTCTTTTCAAAAATGTTGAATCGAAGGAGAATCATTAAGGTGTGTGCAGTAAGACACATAAATTAATCTGACCAACTGATAAATTATTTAAATAGCTAGTTAATTCAATTATTCAAAAGCATGAAATATTTCACATGACATACATACGATTTCTTTCTACAAAGGAAACAAGAATTTTGATCCTTCATGCAGGCATTTAATTAAGGAGATATCAAAGTATCCTTCAATCAGTTAAATTTAAATATATGTAAGTTATGTTACTGCATGTGTTATTTTAATTCGTCTTCAATCAGTAATAATTTACCAATGCGGAAAAAAACGAAGAGATCAAGAAAGTTGAGTGATAATATAAATTTTGATAAATTAGATCGTTTTTGGCAGATGAGGAATGAATGAGAGAAAAGATTTGAAGATAAATGATGATTTATATTCATCCATTCATTTTACACATAAAATTCTAATCCAATTATTAGGTATCATTTTTTCTTTTTTTTTGATGAAAATAGTAGGAATAATTTAAATGAAGATAATACTTCGAAAGATTTTAACCTAATTATTTTTTTTCAAATTATCTTTAATCGTCAATTGTTACCCATTCCATCCATGCATCATTTCATCAGATATACGTGAAGATAAGGTATACTTCGAAAACTTTCAAATGATAAGATGGTGTATTAGGTTTGTTTTACACTTTACATTGAAGTACGCATTTGTTGTTAGCATTGTTACCATTGATAATGAAAAATATTTTTAGATTGAAATTTTTTTACAGAATTGAAGTTCGTATCAGTGATCAATAAAAGCAGTAAACAAATTCAATTCTTCTCAATACGGCGATATGTTATGGAACATTCGAAGAGGCATTTTCATCATTATATTATTTATACAGCTATTTTTCTACTCAGTTCCATGCTTCTGCTTTAGATCGATACCATTATGGCATTGTATCCCAACCTGCTTCCAAGGTTCGATGAGTTAATTAATTATGTAAAACAAAATAGAATAAGTTAAAGCAATATGATATAAAATAAAATGATACGAGCAAAAAAATAGAAATATGAATGAAGCATCTATTAAGTAAATCAAATAAATAGCACTTTAAATATTCAATAAATTTTTTGTTGCTTTTCAGGAAAAATAAATTAATTAATTAATCTCATAAAAAATTTCAGTTCCGATCGTAAAACAATTGGAAGTAGCGCCATCATTGTCATTTCCATCTACGTCAATATCACGCAATGAAGGTAACACAAAGCAACAACAGGTTCAACTGCGACCGAAGAAACAGTATATTTCAGGCGATAGCTATAAAAAGCATTACAGTTCACCAGATGATTTTCATCAATTTAATAATTTAAACTTGGCGCAAAAACAACAATATGAGGAAAATGAGTCATGGCAACCTTATCATCATAGCGATGAACCGATCATATATGTCGCTGAAAGTTAGATTTCGAAAATTTTAACAATTATGCTTTAACTAACATTTAAAACAACGAATCTTCCATTCACTTAATAAGAAGTTCATCTTATAGAGTAGTTAGTAATGATAAAAATGGTGAAAAAAAAATTCGAAAATATTCAATGCCAGAAATTAATCTGTGGATTATTAAATATAACTAGAATCAAATTAATAAATTAATTTAATGGAGTAAATAATATATGAGTATTAAATTAACAACAATTTAAAAAAACATAATTAATTGCTACAAATAGCAAGGAGAAATCATATTTAATTCAAAATTAATGATCGAAAACAAATTCAAGCAACGCCTAATCCATATGATGAGCTAATCGATCCAGCACTATTGACATCAAGGCAAAATCAACCTATATCGATGCTTAATCGATATGATGATTATTTATTGGAAGCACTAAATGATATATCAAATCTTACAACCTCCATGCATCCGGCACCGATATCAGCCATCGAACACTCTTTCGAAAGTAAATCGATTTGAGCTTTACACTGTATATCGATATCATAACGAAATTTTTTGTTTAGCATTACTTATTTACTGTCATATTTGTGTTGATGCAGGTGACACGATTAATTTTATACAAAATTACCGATCGTAGTATATTATTTCTATAGCTCTGTACAGAAACAGATTACAGTACCACACATATTTCCTAATACAGCATGGTAGGATAATGAGAGATGAAAGTTCTCTACACTGTTATTATATTATGACATAAAACTCCTTGCAGATATTTCGGTAGCAAAGCAGAAATCAGTACCATCACAGGTGATGACAAGTGATAATTCCTATCCAACATATCCTTTGAAGATCGAAAAATTAACAAATCCTGATCAAATAGCGGGTAAGTTGTTTTCTTGAAGTTTTTTTGAAATTTAAAACAAAAATTTATTCAAAGTTCGTTAAAAATAAAATTTCCTAAATTATTTAAATTATTCGATTAAAAATATTTTCAGATCCAAAAGGTAAATTAAAATGGACATCATTTAACGTGCTGAAACGACAAAAAACTTATTCAACCAAGAATGCGGCAAGTTCTGAATATCTTTTAACAACTTGACTATCTTTTCAAGAATTGAACTTATTTCTAATTTGATACTACAGCGACTCATCTTTAATTAACTGAAATTCAAGCCTTGCTTTAAATTTGAAACTTAACTTAAATTTTAAACCTTGACAAAGGAAGGAATTAATACTGCCAAAGCTTTAGTTCCAACGAAATTATCCTGCAAAACGGGCAGCATTTCCGTCAGCTGTATGCAATAGCAGAAGGCTTAGAAAGGTTATATTACAGGTAAACATCTATTTTGCAATATTTGCAATCAGTCGCAATTAGTTAATTTTTTTTTAAGCGTAATTGATTAATAAGCTATTGCTACCTATACAACCGTGGTAAAGCGATAAACTTTCGCAAAACGAAAGTACCACAACGTATTCGCCGAATGCATCGGTTAAGCGTTCACAAAAATTTCACATATAACTGTAAGTTAACGTGTTACTATTTATTTTTCTTTTACTTAGTATCGTACATTATCAGTTAAATCTAAATGGCAAGAACAATTCTAATGAACGATGCTATGAAATATATAAGTTTAATGTGCAGGCAATAACAGCTGATGTGTCAGAATCGAAACGTAGCGTGATGGAAGCAGCTGAACATGCTTATCAGGGGATTAAATTTGACGTGATTTGCGCTGAAGGTGATTTCAGTTATACCATCCATGCAAAGAAGTATTGTGAAGTTACCAAAGAAAATATGACTTGTTTTGCATTTCGATAAAAATATCCTATAACGTCCATGTGTACATATTTCATACCACGTGAAACTGTCATGTCGTACCACTCATTAATGAGTATTTCAACGACGAAGAAATAACAATTTATATTAGCGGATTAGCTAATTTACCTATCAAAAGTATCAACAGATAGTTATCATCCTTGCCAGTCTATCAGTCCGACTCATAACTTAATCCCGTACCAATAGCACACTTGAAAATGATTTAGAGATTGAAGAGAGGAGGAAATATCATGGAAGAAGAGCAGAATCTGCCGGATGAGGGATTTCAGTAAATAAAGCTACAACAGTTAAAAGTAACGAAAAGATGTGAGTGGATTGAAGAGAGAGCAGAATTGGTGAGTGATGGTGAGAGATAATAGCATGATAGATTGAGAGTGTAGGAGTTGTGACATTGTATTGAGGCAATGTTTGAAAAGATTTTTTTTTTGGAGAATGAGAGGAGTTTTTTGATTGGATGGTATGGATGAGTATTAACAAATTGATATTCTAAAAGTTAACATTCTGCAATCTCTATTCATCTCTATTCGAATACGAACAAACATATTTGATCATTGATTATTTTGTCAAGAAAAATAAATCAATTCCAGTTACATTGATGAGGAATAATTCATTATATCCTTCTTTGTTACTTTTCTAACAAAATCTGAATTTTCTTTTATTTTTGTTACAACAATTGATACAAGTGAAATGCTTCTTTCTTTGTTTCTTCATTTAAATATATTTCAAGTTGTTCTAGTGGAATTCATTCTGATCACAATGAATATTATCCGATAATGTAATGAGATTTTTGACCGAAATGGCTCTTTTGAAAGCATTTCAAAAACAATTAGAAAAGAAGTCATGTCCCGTGTGTAGAAATCTTGTTACACAAGGATTGTATCGATCACATTTGAATCACTGCAAATTACAACCCGACGATGATGATTGCCAAGTATGTTATCAAAATTTCGCATGAAAATTTGCTTTTATCTTAATGCCATTCAAATTTTACTATATTATTTATCAACTGCAAGGATATTTTCGTGAGAGAGAGACGAGAAGATTTGTATATAAGAGAAAAATTGAGGATTGAGATCTGATGTTTATAGTTTTATGTATAAGTAGAATAAGAATTATTGAAAATGAATCTAACTTATGGTATTCATTCCTTATGAGTATTTTCATTGTCGTCATATCCGATCATTTGTCTTTATGGGTACCATTTACCGGTTTATTATGTTTAACATGTGAATGGATGAAAATTTTAGTAAAATTTACGCATTTACGGTCTAGAATTTACGAATAACTGGAAAATCAAATTGCAGTTGGAGACTTAAATTTGTTTAATGATTTCAGATTACATTACTCCATATGGCCGGCATGAAAATTGAAATTTTTTGTATTAAGTTTTAGATCATCGCTGAAGTCTGTGCAACGGACAGAAAACGAGAAGCTGCCGAGAGTTTAAATAGCTCAGACAACAGTGATGATTTGTTCAGCAATCTGGATCACTATAAGGTAGCAGAGGAGCAAGATTCTAAAGAGAGGAATTCTGGGAGTTTTCTTTCGGATGTCATCAACGTTGAAGAAGCTTCAACTAATGAACAGAAGCAATTGGCTACAGTTATTGTGAAGGAAAAAATGAAAGGCGAGATGATGATTAAACCAATTAGTAGAACACCTAGCAGTTTTACTAGAAAACGCACGAAAAAAATCAAGGTTATTAATGATGATTGAAAGAGGAAGAAAGGAATTAGATAACTGAAATCGTCTTTAGAAGGATTACATGCAAGCATACATGTAATCCTTCCAATGACGATTAGAAATCGTAGTGCACGGAGTAATAATGAGAGAATATACAAAAATTCTCTCATTTTTGTCGGCGATTATATATAGAGAAGCGATTATTTGTTGGCAGTTTAGATTTCTTCATCTGAATCGATAAAAACTTTGGAAGTCATGGAGAAAGTTGATTCTCATCTTCTAATATCGTCGATGCAAAGCAAAGGTGAAATTTTACGAGCAAGCAAAGCAACAACTTCAGTGGCATTGAAGGAGTGTTCTGAAAATGAAAAAGAAGAGAGCAAGCAAGATGAAACAAAATATTCGAATAACAGGTTCAAATATTGAGTTCTTCTCTTATCATTCGTACTCTATACACCCTTTATCGTTTTGATCGAAAATATATTTTAAAAAATACAAGCATGTTTTCATTTTTTTTCAGCTCTAACTTGTACTCCAAATAAGAGGAAAATTTTTTCTTCACTGCGTAACTTAATGATTAACATTGAAAAATTGAATAAATCTGTGTGAAATTAATGGATTTTATCCTTCAGGGATTTTTTTAACAGCAAAGCTACAACCAGTCATGAAATTAAAGTAGAAACTCAAGTAGAGCAGCTGGAAAATATCAAATCCTACCTCAACATTTGTGATTACAATCTTGGAAAGAGTAGTCAGATGCTGTCAAATTGCAAAGACCTTGCGGCTGAAGGTACTCAAGTCGGTTCACCGTATTACCTTACATTATTCCATAAAATAATGAGACGGGTTTGTTGCTTTTCCAAGTTTGTAAGATTTTTTTCTTTTTCTTATGTACATGGAATTCCTGGAATCGAAAACTTCCCGATACAGTTGAAAATAGAATTTCATTTAATACAGCATGATGTTAAACTTCATAAGTACTTGAAAGCTTTGGTTAATATAGGATATTCAGGAGAACAAATGAAAATAGTGGCTGTTATGGAAATAATGAAACCGGTATTAAGTAAATCATGTTTTCTTCTGTCTTCAGTCGCTTTTCATCCGATATTTTTAATTAATACACTTTTTTGTTTGCTCGACAGGCGGAAGTCATGTCCTACTGTGCATGTATGCATTGAAGAAATACGCATTAAATCCAGTTTAATTTGATAGATGAAATTATGCTGCAGGTTTTTTGTAATGGAGGTCAGTATGGTGAAGTGCAATTCTGGGGTGAACGTTTGCATTTGCTACAAAAATTTGTAATGCTATCAGGTATTTTTTACCAAATGAAATATTTGTGAATAGAAGTCATTTTTGAATTAATTGCAAAAAAATGAGTGCAGTTTTGTCTTTTAGATCAGAGTAAACAGTTGTTAATTCGACTGTTTCTTCGCAAAAGAAAATGGTTAATAGCGAATAAACTCTCGTGAGTTAGTTTACTGTTTTATATGGTATTGCTTCCTCGATTTATCTCACTTTTTATGGCTAGTAAAAAATAAGTACGCAGATAAAAGATATTCACTTTTAGATACGCCAACATCTCTTCCTCATTGGATCCATTATTTGAAGAATTATTGCAAGCTGAACTCATTGATTCAAGTCATTAAGTTTTAATGCTTGGAAATAGTTTGATCACTTCTTTTATCAAGAGGCTTTTTTTGTTCAATTATATCACTTCTAGTTTATATCAGAAGTGGATAGAATGGAATTTTTATGGGTTGTAGGAAATGTTTATCATCTAATATTTCTTATTACCCAATTATTAATATACAACAAAGATTCTGTGTTATAAAAAGCTATTCTAGGTCAGTCATCATTGCTAGATCTTGAAGAAGCCGTTTATCTCTTACATGCTCCATCGTTAAAATCTCTTGCGAAGCAGTTCAGATTAGATTTCAACAAAGGCAAAATTGAAATTTGTCGTTCATTATTGAAATTCGCTACACAGAAAAATGTTTTCGGGATCACTGTGGAGAAGCAAATGTTGCATAAGTAAGTGGTCTTAAAATTGAATCGGTATTCGATTTATAGGTTCTGCAATAGAAGTAAATGAATAAGCAAACATAGACAAGAATTTTTATCGATAGCTTAGCAGGGAATGAAAAAGTATTAAAAATTTTCATTTACTCGACATTTGTTTATTGTATTTCTTGGATCCAGTTTTACGATTGTGAAAATTATCAGTTTTTAATTTCGTTATTAATCTAATGAAAAATCGTAGAATCAAAGAGGAACTTGGCCCTTGTTTTCGAATTCGTAAAGAAACTGTGGACATTTTTTCGGCGATTTTTACAATTTATTCACCGATGGATATGAATTCCGCATTACTTTTTGACCAACCTTCTATTAACCTACCCTCGCAGTTATTGTAAGTTTAGTTTTCTCTGAGATTTAAAAAATTAAGGATGTCTTGTTGGATACATGCATGACCAAGTTTTATGTTCACTATTATTATTTTGACTTTCAGATTTTCTTTGCTACAACTTGGTACCGACAAACTTCGTTTTCCCGCTCCATATAACCCCCGTTTGATAAATATTTATACGGACGCTGAAAAGCTTTTCAGGTTGCGCAAGATATTTATTCATTTGCTTCTCCTTAACATTTAATCAGTCTTCAAGTCTGAGGAACAATTTTATATTTGTAAGTAATTTACTTTCCAGATATATCGATGCAAAAGAATTGGAAGCTGAAATAGCTGATCTAACACAACGTGGAAGATGGGCTGAAATAATTGATTGCGCAAAGAAAGCGCGGGTCGAATTTCAAAATGCATTTACAGTACAGTGGTAAATAATATTCGCATATAATTTATCTTATTCATTTATCATAGCAATAGGATTATTGAAACTTTTGATTATTCCGCTGATGAAGTAATATGTGCATCATGACAGTAGCTTTATAGACTACAAATAGCCGTGACCTTTGAAAACGATTTACAATATTAACTGTCAAATCAGTCAGTGTAGTGCATAAAAGTTGGCTAATATATTTTGCTTCAAACATTCATTTATCACTTGCAAAACTGCATCCATTCTCTTAATGTGAAAATCAGTGGTGGGTTCAGTTAACTTGTCAAATAATTATGACCCTTTTTCTTGTTACAGGCAATTCTATGAATCTTTGATTGTTGATCTTCGGCGATTCACTGATCTTCATATATATGCGAGGTTTATCTTTTAGTCTATAGTGTCATAAAGAAATGATTCAATTATCATTCCATTGAAAAATCTACAATCTAATGTTCTATTATGATTTCCTTCTTCCACATTCATGCTTTACACATTTCTTTCTTGCATTCAGGTGTATATCACATGGTGTTGAAGCACTGGAAAGAGTCAGAAATTATACAGAAGCTGTTGCTTGGTTGGAATATATGTTGCATGCTGTGGGTACGTTAATACGTGCTTCGTTCAAATATTATATTAACTTTGTAAATGTGTTAACTTTTATGGATTTTATCTCTTCAATTATGAATTCCTAAGGTGATGTCTAATATTATTGGTTACAAAAAAAGTCCTTGTCAATATTTTATCATTAATGCCTTTTTCCTCCTGCTGTAAATCAAGAATTAATTTAATCTAATAATATTCACGGATAAGAGTTTAAATGAATGTAACAGTAATATTTTTAAAATCCAGGTTGGTGAATGCTGAAAGTAAATAATAAGATTTTTCCGGCTCAAAAATTTTTATGTTTTTTTGCCTTTTTAGATGAGCTCCAGGAAATCATCTTAAGTTTGCTGTTATAATCATAATGTTCAGAATGCAGCTAACTTTGGTTTTCTTTTAGAATTTAAACTTATTCTTGCTAATGCACGAGGTGGATGGTGGGATCGATTAGCGCTAAATTTAGATGCACATCTGAAAGATAAAGATAGAGCAATGAAAGCTGTTATTGCTGGTCTAGAAGATCCTGTTTTGGGTGACAAAGATCGTTTATCGCTGCAAGTTTGTCCATTTTTTGAAGTCTAGACTTGATTTTGCATAGTTGTTAACATGTCCAATTTCTTGGGCTTTTTAATTTCTTTTCAACTTTTGACCGATTTTTTATATTTAGATGTCTATACTTGATTTTTTTGATTCTATTAAATGAAAATTTATAGGGAACTAAGTCTGTTTATGTTGCAGGATAGAGGCCGTAAACTTTGTTTAGGGTGGAAAGGACCTCTGAAAGAGATGGACCTTGAAAGAATCAAAATAAAGGGCTTTACAGTAGGTAAAAATCTTGGCGAGGCACGAATTAACAGGTTTCTTATTGAAAGGTATGTTTTTTGTTTTTAATAAAAAATTTTGTGTTTGTAAATATTTGAAGCTCATATTTACCATTATCTGAGTCTGTTTTAGAAATGGAGTATCTTGGGAATGTAGCGTTGAAGAGGTGGCATTGGATTATTATTTGAGAAAAAATGGTTTCAAAGAAGGTGTGTTGTCATAATTTTTAATTTATATAAATTTATACTGTGCAGTGCATGTGCTAGGAATTAAATAACAACTAATGAATTGGAAACGTTTCAAAAATATAAAAGGCGTGATTGATCTATTGAGGGATTGGCTTCAGATATAGCTAACTAATATCAGACATAACTATCCAAGCTGCAAAAAAAAGAATGAAAAATGATTTTAAATATGGACTAGTTAGAAACACAAAGTAAGTAACTTTTCTTTTCATTTATCACTTTTTAGCATACCTAGGAGTTTCATATGTTTTATACAGGAGTGCACGCGGAAGGTACGCTTTGGCACACCATATTTGGACTTTTATTTTACGACATTATTTTCGATCCAGCTGTTGAGAATGTATGGTTCAGCGAAACACAGGTATAAGAATTGAGGATTCAATTTTTGCTCTAAGTTTTTTGATTTGCTTTCAGTTTCGAGCTATACGACATTTTTTTCATAAGAGTTGATAGAGATTGGAATGCTTTTTCTTGGAATTCGTATACCACAACGTAGAATGCTTTTTGTTTTCAATAGCAAAGCTAAATACTCCGCAAGCAAACATCTATCACTGATAAAATTAAAAACTTTATTATTAAGGATAAAGTTCAAATTAGAAAATAAATCAAGGATTATTTACAAATTTTTGCATTTGTTTAACTTATCATAGATGAATCCTGCGGATTTGAACAGCAGAACTTTCTACACCAATCGCCAGGATCTTTTCGAGTTACGTTTCAAAGAGATTGAAGAAGCGAATTTTGATGATTTGCTATTAAAAATGGAGAAAACATACAATGATTACTACGGAGTAACCAATTCAGAGGTCACATGGGATTGTTTCACTGATTTTGCACAAGTCAAAGTTAGCACTTTTTTTCTGTTAATTAACCATCAAAAATTTTTTATTGGTGGTGATAACTAAATTGGACGGTTTTTCCTACAAATTGTATTTATTTGTTTTTCAGTTTTGGGAATGAATAAACGGCATATATTTAGTCATGCTACAACTACGATAAATATTTTGAACTTTATTGCTTTTTATCTGCATACTGTTTGAACTTTTAAGAAGAAATAATAATACGGATTTTTTAGCGATTTATGATTTGCTGTCCGATAACTGCTCTTTGCGCTAGCATTCGTCGTCTCATTACCGATTATCGAAATTGTCGAAGTGGATTTCCTGATTTAACTATTTGGAATGATGAAAAGAAACTTCTCGCAGTATGTTCATTGTTAATTTTGGCAACTTTTCGGCTGCATGAATGTTGCAATATATTAAGCATAATATTAGAAAAAAATATTCCAAGTTTCGTAAAAATTCATTGCAGGTTGTAGAAGTTAAAGGTCCTGGGGATAAGTTGTCAACCAAGCAACGTTTATGGCTGAATTTTTTTAAAAATCACAATATAACTGCTCATGTTTGCTACGTTTCTGGTGAGGATTATTATCGTTTACTACCTTGAAATTTCCAAATATCTAAATTTTCTCGCAGTTCGTTATTGTTGTTAAAGAGTAATTAGACTAGTTGGGTTGTTCCTAAAATTTCCCGTCAGGATTTTCTGCACTGACATTTTTTTCTATATTTATTCTTATAGTTTTTGATTTTCTTTATCATGCGGTTCATTATGCTAACTCAAAAAAAACCCAACATCAAACATCAAAAAATTATAAGAAAAAAGATCATCCTTTTTTCATTCCGATGTGTACATCCTTTTTTGCAGCTCGAAATCCAAGGAAGCTCGACTGATAGCACTATGCCTTGATCTTTCTGCTTATCAACTGAGGATGCATGGCAAACAGGTTGCTGCAAGGCAACAAGTGTAACTCACATTCATCCACTTTCAAAGATTTATTTTCTCATTATTTGAGGATAATTTGTAGTTTTTTCTTATATTTGTAGAATAGTGTAAAATAGAATGCTTTATAAACTTCAGTAGATAATTGGTTCTGAAAAGATGTTTGTTTTGCGATGTTAGAATTTTTTAACATGTTAGTATACATTATCCATGCAGACGTACACTCAATATCGAAGTTACATTAACAAAAGAAAATAAGATGAGTGAAATAATTATACAGCCTTAAAAGCCAAATTTTTATTTGTTTTTCACCTAAAAATTATCTATTAATAAAGCTTTTCTAAAAAAGGTGAACAAAATAACTGACGGAAATAAATACCAAATTTGGAAGTCAAGAATGTGAATGAAGTGGTATTTGTAGATTAAAAACGAAATCAATAGATACACTGCATCAAGTAGAACAAATTCGAGGTTACAAGGCTGTTTACGAATCGAAATTTTAAATTCCTAACTTATTTAAAGAATTCAGAAAACCGAACTGCTACATTTAACCAATTCTGTATAATAAAATCTCAGAAAATTGGTCCTGTTCAGAGATTGTTTTTTAGAAGTTGCATTTTAATTTCAAGAAGTTGAATTGAATCAGAAATAAGGGTTAAAGATTTTATTGGTTTTTTATTCTAATCTTTCTCATTTTTTGAACATTCCTGTTGCTATGATTAGTTTACAAAGTAAAAAATTTAATTGAAATTCATTGTTTTATCTTTCGTAATTTGTTACGTATGAAATAAATGAGAAGTAAATTCTGAACAAATTGTATTCTGTTTAATGATTTCTTATGCAACTGGTTGGTGATAAATAACTTTGTGATAAATGTCAATTTGAACTTGGAATTTCGTCCATGGAAAAAGAAAAAAAATGCTAGCAGGAGAACGGTAAAGCTTGTTTTTAGATTCTTCAGGATCAAATCGAAAACTATGGAAGCTTATGATGGCGATAATTGGAGGTAAGTGTGTGCATTTCCCCACTTTATATCTTCTCGAACTTACGCGCAATTTGTATAGATTTTAAAAATGCTTATAAATTACAGTCTCCTAATTCTGTATATGCCTCCCGGGGAGGAAAATGAGAGTTTCTTAGCTGATAAGACATTTTAAATTCCAATGAATTTTGATTCTATTTCAATTGTGATACTTGAAACAAACGAATTACCCTTTAAATTGACAAAGATATATACTAGTTTGGACAATCTGTACCTTTACATTACAATTTGGAGTGACATTGTGAAATTGTATTTGTAAAAAGTAAAAAATGACTGACAGTTTCTCTAATCAAAATTTTTATTTGTTTCAGATGCATTCGCTACGAATGGTTGCGGTAGCTTTGTTAGCTCTGATGCGGAATGTATCGATTACAGTTAATTATAACCGAAACACCGGTGGTGTTAATGAAAGAGTGATAGATGGACAATTTCGTGACAATACCGCAAAATATTATCATAACAACAGCACACATGGTCATAGAAATATCGATGATAATTCAAAAGATATTGAACATGCAAAATTTCATATCAAAGAATCAAAAAAAAAGTCACTGAGGCAAGACATGTTCAAGGAATTGAACATATTTAAAGTTTCATATCCACCGGCCGAATATCACTTCTTCAGATCGATGCTTGATGAAAATCTCTGTAATCAATATACTTTGGAATGTATTTATGTTAGTTTTTTTTTTCTTCCCAATTTATTGGAAGTTATTGAATTGAAATTTTGAATAATATAACACTATCATGGATAATGATAAATTCGAATAAAGCTTAATATCATATATGTTAAAGTGAGAGGAAGTGACACAAGCTTGATATTATGAAGTGATACAAGCTAAAATGTACTGAACACTGATATTATTGCAATTAATTAATACTGAAGGTATTTGAAGTATAGGTCAAGTAATGATTCTAATTTTTGCAGTATCGATCGGAATATCCGCACAGTAGATTATCATTTGATCCGAAAACTGACAAAGAATACAATCCATGTCATCGATTCGTTGAACCGTGTTTTGGAATTTCCGAATACGATTATAAAATTATAAAGAAATTCAGGAGTTTAAGGGAATATTAATTTGTTCTTACTTTAATATCATTTCGTATTATTTGTAAAAGAAAAATAATTGAGTAAATGATCAAAGACGAAGTTTGCGGAAAGAATATGACAGTTGGATGGATAGGTACGGTATATGAATCATTAAGATTACCTGAAATTATTAATACAATTGTACAAAATTACACAATCATTAAGATTACCTGAACATTAATACAATTGTACAAGATTAATTCCTCACATCAACTTTCTAATCCGCATATGTTAAATTCATCCTTGATGGCTGCACGATAAGATTATCAGAAAACAGTTACAGTTAGATCTGGCATATCTGATTAAAAGTGATTAACAATGCTTCTAATTTCTTTCGTGTTTTTTCAAATTTCCTGCATCATTTACACTTGTGTTACTTAAACATCAGCCTTTCATGTTAGATTGTATATAAAGAACGCTAATTATTTTTTATTTTATATTTCAAAAAAAAATTCTTCATTCTTAGCAAAACACATCAAACATCAAGTAAATCACACATTATTTTAAATACTCAAATAAATTGACATTACGAAAAAAAGAAAATTAGAATTGTCCCTTTTTCTGGTGGCCTTTTCTCATTGATCTCGAAGATCGATAATTTCATTTCCGCATTATTTTATTTTATGCATCTTTTGGTGTCGAAAATTTCCTCAAATTACCAAAAAAAAATTAATTGGCATTTACGACAAATCTTCTGTACACTGTGTAATGTAAACTCTATTATTGCTTTCAACATTAAACTGTTAAACAGCTTTAGTTAAATTTTTTAATTAAAATTGGAAATTTAATTATAATTGAATTCCCTAATTTATTTTAAGATTTATGAAATTTCGATTTAAGATTTATAAGTTTCGACATATAATTCATTATTAACTGATGGTAAATATTTATTTTGTTGATGAAAGAGAAAAGATCAACAAAAAAAACTGTAAGACAATCGTATAATTAATATAAACCTTTTATATCGAGCTAACGATATATAATTATAGTCTCATGACATCATGATTAAATTATCTGTCAACATCTTTTTTCAATGAGAAATGTGTGATAGCAATTTAGTACTCAATCGTTGATTATTGTTGATAAAATTTTACTGAAACGGTAGAATGCACTTCAATGATAGTAAAAAAGCACCGATGAAAAAAGTCCTTCAGTATGGAAAAAAATTAATAAAAAATTTTAAGTAGCATTTCTCATGAAAATGGCCTCTCATAGTAAAAAAAAACAATGTATCAATATTTTTCTCATTTTCTTCTTTCTTTC